TTCATAATCTTAGAAGTGTTTTTCATTCTGTCAATATAACCTTTTTTATTATTTTTATCTTAGTTTTTTCTTCTTCTATTTGATTTGATCTTGGGATAGTAATACACTGTTATTACTATTTGAAAAAGGATTACACTTGCATATGATTTTTTACTTTCTTCATATCGTATTAGAGCTATAAAGGTGGTAACTTGTATTTCAAGATCTCCTTGGTAAAGAAGATAACCTTTTTTTCTTTTTACTATAGATTATAATAGTTGAGTTGATGGGTTTGGTATTGAACTTTTCAATCAATCTAACTACGAGATTTAGAAAATTTATTTGAAGTCCTATTTCATAAGGGAAGAACTATGAGTTATGGTTGGTGACGATGCAAACAACAGTACCAAATGCCGTAGATGAAGACGTCGTGAAGAGATGAAGGATATTAGATGCAAAAGTTGATTTTATATTAAAGAGCTCTATCTCTCATGATATCTTTGAATATATTATTGGTTATAAATAATTTTAGAGATTTGGATCACTTTTGATACATTGCTTAACAAAAAGGAATGTAACTTAACTTTAGTATTTAAAGAATGATTTAATAAATACTATCCAAGGTGATCTCTTAATTTTTTAATACTTTTTAAAGATTAAAAATTTATGTTAAGAGATATCACTTTTAAATTGAAATGAGTCTATTTCTAATACATGAACAAAATATTATATTATTTATGATTTTAAAAAAATATATATTTCTTATATTATATTTATTCAAGGATTAGTTCAATAATGAATTTTAGTATAGTTGAAAAATCTTGTTGCTTCTTAAGAATCCTTAGCTCATCAACTTGTAGAGTCTATGTTTTAGGGGAAGATGAAAATGCTCATTTTATAAATAAGAAGGGTAATGTAAAAGATAAAAAGAGGATGATGCTAATAGTAAGCGAGAGTCTTCTTCCAACAATGGTATAAATTGAAAAGTGTTATAGGTGTGATAAGTTAGGCTATATCAAGAAAAATTATCATATTAAGATTAAAGGAGTAAATATTATAAATAAAAAAGATTATTTCAATGCTAATAATGAAGATTAGGGTAAATGTTTCATGGCTAAAACAATTATAGTGGAGGCCATCTATTAAATTAAAACATAACTTGATAATTGATTCAAGATATGGTCATCATCTTATTCACCAATATTCATTAATATGAAAGTAATGATGCAATCATCATGACAAATAATACTGTTCACTAAGTAGAGAAGGAAGACACTATAATAATCTTAAAGAAAGACAATGATCCCATTACATTGAATAATATGTACCATGTTTCAAGTATGAAGAAAAATCTCTTTTCTATCACAAATATAGTTAATGCTGAAAATTATATTCTTTTTAGTTCTAATGAAGTCCAATTTTTTCATAACATAAAAGAATTAAATATAGATTTAGTACACACTAGTAAAAGGATTAAAGATTTATATACTTTGTTAGCATTGAGCTGTTATGTTGATAGGATGAGTACAAATGATAGTGCATTAATCTGGTATGCTAGACTTTGGTCATATAATTTTTTTTAAATTAAAGATTATGATTAAAAAAAATTAGTTCATGGTCTTCCCAATCTTACTACTTTTAGTAGTAATAAAGTTTATGAAGGTTATCAATACGACAAAGCACACAAGCAACCTTTTGATAAATCACTTTTGAGAAACAAATTTTTCATAGAGATTATTTAATCTAATGGGCCTTTCTCAAACTCTATCCTATTGATAATTTTACAAAGTTCATTTAATATACTTCATGAAGGAAAAATCATATGTTTGTTTCAAAATTTTAAGAGTTCAAGTTAACAGTGAAGGTGTTCTTGGAAGAAAATTAAAAAGCTATGCATCGATACTGATAGAGAGTTCACTTTTGATAGATTCTTCTCCTTTTGCATATTGCATGTCATTAAAAGAAAACTCACTTGTGCAAATGCACTACAACAAAATGGTGTGAAAAA